GTTCACGAGGCTGTCGACGCACCTGTCGGACATCGAGAAGCTGAGCTGGGAGTGCAAGAGCTTCTGCTCCATCGACGAGTTGCCCGCCAGCACCGTCAGGGCCTCATGCTGCTGAGGGATGGCGTGGGTTAGGGGGGACATCGCAAACCCCCAGGGTGTTTGACCGCAGCGTAGTTCGAGTGTCCTTGGCTCCAGAACACAGAGGGTCCCTGGCTCCGGAACACAAAGGACTCTTGGTTGCAGGGAACCAAGGAGTCCGACGGGCACAAAACCCAGGGGTCCTTGAGCCAGGGGAACAGGAGGCTGGAAGGAGGAGAAGGAGGAGGAGGAGGAGGAGGAGGGAGGGCGGACGAGGAGGAGGAGGAGGAGGAGTAGGAGGGATGAGGAGGAGGGATGACAGGATAAGGGAGAGGAGGAGGAGGAGTCCAGGAGGAGGAGGATGAGGAGGAGGAGGCGGAGAAGGAGGAGGAGAAGAAGGAGGAGAAGGAGGAGGAGGAGGAGAGGGAGGAGGAGGAGGGCGGCGATGGCAGCGATAACGATCGTGCCGCTGGCGGTATCGATGCTGACGGCGTTGACGGCAACAGCACTGATGACTGATGATGCCGATGATGCTGATGAACATGGTTGGGATGTGGGTGAGTGGGATGAGGGCGCAGAACACGATGATGAGGATACGACGATCGGGGCCCTCTAACTTAGGGGACACGGGTGAGGACGACGAATGGCGCCGACTGCAATGGAGAAAGCAACGACTTGGCATGAGAGGATGGCGGGAGGACGAGGAGGAGAGAGGAAGGAAGACAAGGAGGAAGGAATGAGGAGACTAAGAGAGAGGAGAAATGGAGAAAAAACATTTTTTTGCACCCGTGACCCCCCGCTTTTGCAGGGGCACACGTTCTCGAGACGTGCAAGCAGTCGTTCTTCACCCAGAAGCTCAAGGCCGCTGGGACCACGTTGCCGTTCTCCGTGGGCGACGTCCACGAGGCTGCGGTCCTCGCAGCACAGGACTACTCGACAGTTGTGCTCCTGACGCGTGGCCTTGATGATGTTGCTGTTTGTATTCCAGACTGTTTGAAAGGTGAGCTGCCAGGCACGCTGGGGTTGGATGTCTTCGCTACCGCTGGCCACAACGTTGCATATGAGGATCTTCGGAAGTTCGTGGAGGCCAGCGGCGCGACGCACGTGAAAGTTGACGGCATGACAAACGCATCGACACCAGACGACGACAACGTTCCTGTGCACCACGCCCTTGCATATATCTCAATCGTGAACGCCATGAAGGATATGGTTGGATGCATCGTCAAGGTGAATGGCATGTTGTTCAAGGCCAGCGGCTACAATGATGACATTTCAGAGGGCGTGGTGGTCGGTCCGCTCGTGCAGCTGCTGAAGCTTGTCTCCGCTTGCCTCGTGCGGCTCGACTGCCAGCTGCACTCCAAGCCTGCTCTGGAGCTCGAGAAGGCTGGCTGGGTCACGCCCGTGGGGCTTAGCGGGGCCAAGCAGTGGGCTCTCTCGGTGGGCCACTTCAGCTTGAAGTGCCAGAAGCGGTTTCTCCAGATCGTGGACAGTGGCATCCTGAAGTACACCGACGCTTGCAGCAAGGAGTGTTTGGACTGGAAAGCGGCGTTCGACACCACTGGCAAGTTGAACTTGCCCCTGGCGACGAAGTTGTTCTACAACAAGCAGGGGAGGGTGGCTGCCTCCCACAACGCCCTGCACCAGAAGCTCGCCACCGTCAACGTCGCCGTCGCCGACGTGGGCATCACGCCCAGCATCCAGGAGCATGACATCACGTCTTCATCGGTGGCGCTGGCTCTGGCTTGCTTGGTCACTCGGGGCTCAAAGGGGAATGCCGAGCTTTGGGCGCGCGCGTCGGTTCGGAGCCTCAACCAGATCTGCCCTTCGAGGCCAGAGAGGGGGGGTGGGGCTCCGAATCGACCTGCGCATCGAAAGCACTGCATCCTTCATTGATGCCACCTGGAGGCGAAAGCATCTTTGCTCTCCGTCGTCATCAAAGGTTGCTCGCTCTTGGCGAGCCTGGAGAACAATCCCAAGGGGCCAGAGAGCGCAAAGGCGTTCATCGAGAAGCATCCGCCATCGAAGTACCCCGAGATCCCGAATAACTTCTGGGACGAGTTGCTGGCGATGGCATCGTTCACCATCGAGCACGTCGGAGAGAGCGCCCAGTCCGCGGCGAGCGGCTCCGCTGGCAGCGGCGTCGCAGCGACGCCTGCGCCGAAGGCTGCGGCTGAGGCGCCTTCCGACGTGACCAGCGCCGCCAAGTTCAAGGGCACGTCGCTGAAGCGCGACGCTGGCTCCGACGCAGGCCCGAAGCAGGTGGGGCTCAAGCGCTGCAAGAGGCAGCGTTGAGTTTCGCCCCAGTTTATGGGGGCTGGGTGGAGGGAGGGGGGATGAGGGGATTGGAATTAAGACGGATTGGAGGGTAGGTGCTGGAATATTGGATAGGAAAGAGATGGAGGATGGGGGAGACGGTGGAATTTGGTAGGGCTGGTTCGGGGTCGGAGGGAAGGGGTTGGGATGCGTGGGAGGGGGCGCGCAAAGTAGAAGGCAGGAGGGATGGACATAATGGGAGGGAGGACGGAGGAGGAGGAGGATGAGGAGGAGGAGGAGGAGGAGGAGGAGGCGGAGGAGGAGGAGGAGGATAAGGAGGAGGAGGAGGAGGAGCAGGAGGAGGAGGAGGAGGAGGAGGAAGAGGAGCGGGAGGAGGAGGAGGAGGAGGAGCGGGAAGAGGAGGAATGGGAAGGAGGAATGATGAGGACAAACCAGAAGCTAGTAGGGGCCAGCCAGCAGCTGGCGTGCGGGGCCGCGGATTACGAGACTGTAATCCAGCGGCGTGGACACAAGCGGCCTGGAGACAGGCGGCGTGGGACAGGCGTGGGGAGAGGCTGCTCCGTCAGATCTTGATCCCTCCCTGCCCCTGCTTCTCAACCCTCCCCCTGCTTTCCTCTCATTATTCTTCTGCCCCCGTGCTGATATCCTGCCCGCGTTCTCTCTACCTCAGCCTTTCGCGCCGTCATGGCTCGTGCCCCTCGCGACGTCATTAGTCGTACCCCTCACGACCTCATTGGTCGTCCGCTTCACGACGTTCTTCCTAACCCCACCTTCACCCTCGCACCTCCATCCCTCATGTCATCATTTGGCATTGTCATGCGGGAAATGGATCCCCGCGCACGCTTGCTTCTCCAGTTTTGATTCACTCAGGTTCGATGATTGGCAGTGGGTTCGGCAGGCCACGATCCGAATGGTACGATGCAAGACGAATGTCCCACTTAAGTTCAGGCACACATTTGTTTCATATGATTTAAACCATACAAAAAACAAAAAGCCTACTTAACTTCAAGAGCTAACTCTGGGAGTTAACTCCCAGAAACGAGTTACCAAAACAAGTTGAAGTTAAGAGTTGGAGTGATGAAAACGAGTTGCGTCACAAAGGCTGTCGACCATTCGGTGTTGAATTCCACCCCCCCTACAGAGCTGAGGGAATACACGCGCCCAAAGGTGGACCCTGCCAAATCGAAGGTACTTTGGTCTCCTGTGTCTCGCGACCCGTGCCTCCTGCATTCCCATGGCAGCGTGACCCTCGGAGAGGGTCTCTTGTCCTCTCGCGTGTCCTGTCCAGTGGAGTCCGACTGCGCGTCTCTCAGGAGGGAAAGAAACGCACAGACACAATTAATCGTCGATTCCCCAGAAAATATGGGAAAATATGGGAAGTGGGGGGGAAGACAAAAACCTTGAAAATGTAGGAAAATATGGGGGATATTTTTATTTGTGTGCATTTATTTGCGTGTCCTGGGGCCCCTTTAGTCTCCCCGCTGCAGTGGTGCCCCCGCGGAGACGCGCTTGGCCGCACTTTGGGATCGGCGCCGTGCCCCCCCCACCCCCCCCGTCGCTCGGAGTGGCGCTCTCGGCCCCGCGCGGGCCGCACTTCCTCCTCCTCCTCCTCCTCCTCCTCCTCCTCCTCCTCCTCCTCCTCCTCCTAGTGCTCCCTCGCTCCAGCAGTGGCGAAGCGTCCCGGCTCGCCTGTAGGCCTACCAAGTACTGTTCCGAGAACCTCTTTTGGTGGTTTCCACGGAAGGTTCCCAGAACATTTCTGGCCGGGGCTGTCCTGTGTGAACACAGTGGTTTTATGGTCTGAGAACATGTTTGGGGTTCTTAGAACATCTTCGGGTACTAAAAACATGTCGTGGTAGGCCTATAGGAATGCCGGGACGGTCGGTCCCTGCTCAGCTCGTCACCGTCGTCCTTTCTTTTCCCGTCTCAAAAACATGAGAAAATAACAGCCTTACTTTCCCGTTTCACGCCTTCCCCAGGACTTCCTGCTCTTCTCGCTCCTCTTGCTGCTGCAGTATCTCCTCCCTCCTTCTTCCTCATCCTTCTCCTCTCCCTCCCTCTCATCCTCCTGCTTACCCGCCTTCCACGCGTCCAAGGCACATAGCTCCCCTTGTCATGTTACGCGTCAATGGACACGATGGAGTCCTTTGGGGTGTTCCAGGCCCGATATGACAGCCGTTGGCGGAAATAGGCAAGACGGCGCATTGCGAAGGGACGAGAGGGAGTTGTATAGGGTGGCAGATGTTGCGCGTGCGCGCCCTCGGCATCTTCCCCTCGTCCTCCCTCCCTCCTCCTCCTCCTCCTCCTCCTCCTCCTCCTCCTCCTCCTCCGCCCCATCCTCCCACAGCCTACCCCCTCCCCTCCCCCCCATCGCACACCCCGTCCGCGCTCGTCTCGTCTGCGTCGTCCTCGCCCTCGACCTCTCGCCACACCCCTGCCCTTCCCTCGTCGACCGACCCCGGCGGCGGTGCGACGCCGACACCGCCGCCGCCGCAATCCGCCCTGTGGGGCCGCGAGCACCATGCTGCGGTCAGAGAAGCTGCCTCGGGCCACCATCTCTCTCGGCAGCCCGCAGATCGGCTCCTCCCGCAGCATCTCCTGTCGGTCCCCGTGATGATCGCCGTGCCGACCCGCCCGCCCGGCGCCAGGGCAGTGGATCCTGCGCGTGGACCCGCTGTGCGGCAGCTTCCGGCGCGTGCAGGTGTCGGAGGTGGCCGAGGCCGCGCGCGCGCGCAGGGGGCGCAGCGCCGCGGGGGCGGCGCAGGCCGCAGGGGGTCGGGGCCCCGAGGCCGCCCATGGGGGGCCGCAGCGGCCTCTTCCTCCCTCCCTCCCTCCCTCCCTCCCTCTTCCTCCTCCTCCCCCTCCTCCCCGTTTTCCTCTTCTTCCTCTGCTTCCTCGTTTTCTTCCTCCTCATCCTTCTCCTCCTCCTCCTCCTCCTCCTCCATAAACATGCGTGCTGCTGGCGCGGCTCTCCGTGGGGCCTCTTGAGGCAGGTGGGTGCGGCTGCGGGGGAGCGCTGCTGCAATCCCGCCCATGCCGCACCCTGGGGCCCCTGAGGGGCCCGCGTCTTCGGCACCCCTCTCGAGACAATGTCGACACGATGGGCTCGCCCCAGGAGGGTCAGTCACCACCCACCAAACCACCCCAACCCAACCCGAATACCTCGATTTGCCCTCCATTTCCATTGGGAGGGGGGTCGGGGAACATGGACCCCCCCCAACCCGAAATTCGCGGAAATTCGGGTCTTCGGGTTAGGTTGGGGTGGTCTAGTAGGTGGTCAGCCAGGAGCGCAGCTCGCCCAGACGTGGCCGGTCGGGCGTGCAGCGGGTCGGGCCCAGGTATTCGACCCATCGCGGCTTTTCCTTGGGCGCTTGCCTGTTTGGCTGAGGCCTCAGGAGTGGATCCCAGGGCTCGGAGGGAGGAGAAGCGGTACCAACGCCACCAGGGGGCCCACCTCCAGCGGGGAGGTCCACGATGCCTCCCCGAGCTGGACTCTGGGGATGTCTCGAGCGAGAGGGGGGGGGGCGCACCACCAGGGAGACGCCCCTTGCCTCCTCGCACCTCCTCGCCCTGCTGGTGTTGGTGTCGCCTTTCCTTGTTCCCAAGGGCGAGATGACGAACGAACAACACACACCCATACCCCTAGGGAGGTCGTTGGGAGGAGGACTGGCTATGGGTATGGGTGCGGGTTGTCGGACCCTGGGGAACGCTCCCGTTCGAGCGGGGATACCCATCCGACAGCACGCACCCATAGCCCTCTCCGACCGGTACCTCTGTCTGCAAAACAGTCTCAGCCGTTGGTACTCTGCTTGTGTGGTGATCTTGGTCGAACAATTTGTCTCTAGGGCTGGGCTCATGGGACCTCTGGGCATCTACGGCTTCCAGGAGGGACGTAAGACTGTGGAAATCGTGGGGGCCCTCAAGGCTCTTGCTCAACCCCTCTGTGGGTATGGGTGTGTGCTGTTGGTTCGTCATCCTCGCCCTGCTGGTGTTGATGTCGCCTTTCCTTGTTCCAAGGATTGCAACGAAGGATTGCAACAACAACCCTTTTTGCAATCCTTCGTGTTGTTGGTTCGTCATCCTCGCCCTGCTGGTGTTGATGCCGCCTTTCCTTGTTCCCATGGGGCGAGGCGCCGGCCCCGCGGAAGGGGTCGGGGACCTCTGCGGGCGCCCCGAGCGGCCAGGGGGCGGCACGAAGGCCAGCAGGCGTCGGGGCGCCGGGCCGCCCAAGAGGGGCCGCCGTCGGGGCGCAGCGCTGGTGGTGGTGAGGAGGAGGAGGAGGAGGAGGAGGAGGAGGAGGAGGGGGAGGAGGAGGAGGAGGAGGAGGAGGAGGCGGAGGAGGAGGAGGAGGAGGAGGAGGAGGAGGAGGAGGAGGGGGAGGGGAGGAGGAGGAGGAGGAGGAGGAGGAGGAGGAGGAGGAGGAGGAGGAGGAGGAGGAGGAGGAGGAGGAGGAGGAGGAGGAGGAGGAGGAGGAGGAGGAGGAGGAGGAGGGCGTGTGGTGGGGGTGCAGTCTGAGGTTCTCGGACGTTTTGCTCAGCTCTCGGCGGTGCTCCAGCCTCGGGGCGCTCTCCAGCAGCTGCGCCTCGCCGAGGGTCTTCCGGCGGGGGGGCCTGGGTCGTCGGGGACCCGAGGTATGATCGAACACCGGCCTTCGGGGGTTTTTGGGGGGATGTGCTCGGGGGGTGATGCATCGACCCCAATCGCCCGTGGATCGCCAACAGAGGCCTGATAGCCCCCTCTGCCCAGGAACGCGCGGTCTCGCTGCCGAGAGCCTCTTGCTGATCCATCGGCAGTGCATCGACGATTCCAGGTCCATGTTCCCCCCCCCCCAGGAGACGGACGGACCCCCTGCTGACAGGCCCCCGCAGCAGTTGACCTGCGTCGCTGGTGCACTGCCAGTTCATATCTTACCAGCCTGGAACCTATCCCTATCCCTATGTTGGGCATCGCCTCATCACGATGGCGATCTTAGGGATTTCCTCAGTTTCTGAGGGCGAATCCCTAAGATTGTCATCGCCTTTTGGCGTGTCAATCTTAGGGATAGGGATACGTTCGAGGCTGGTAAATATCGGCGGTGCGGCGCCGTCCTCCCCTGGCGGGCATCTGCTCAGACCCCACCTGGGGGCCCCCCGAGGTCAGAGGTGACGCAGCAGTCGGCGCGCACGGGCAGGTCGGCCCTTCACGATAAGGAGTGCCTCGCGTTTGGTTGAGGCGTCCCGGTCACCATCCCTGACCTCCCGCTTTCCTTGCGCCCCGCCGCCCCGCTTGAGGAGCGTCGTGCCCTTCCGGATGTGTTCTGGCATGCTCGCTGGCAGTAGCGGTTTAACCAGGCCAAGCCACATCGTTTCAGGCCGTAGGTTAAAGGACGAAGGTTCCAGCCACAGGCGTCAGAGCATAGCGAATATTTGAACGCTTAGCGAAGCCAAGCCTAGCGTCTTCCTCTTCCTCCTGCTGCTCATCTTCCTGCAGTCGCGTTCCTTCCTCTTCCTTCGGTAGGTTTGTGTTTTCTTCGGGATCCCGTCTGTCGATGTGGACTCGCCTCTCTGCTCGTTTCCCCAGGTTTGGATTGCGAGCCCCTTTGCGAGTGCCGTTCAACTTTAACGCTCTCTGGAGGTTCAGTAGGGTAAGAGCAATTCCAGGGTGACCGGCGGCAGGCGTTACGTTGGGGCGCCAGTACTGCCCGTGTGCACAGTGCCCGAGCGCATCGGTTTATGACGCATCGTACCCAGTCAGGTCAGGTTATTGAAGAAACAACAAGTGCATCAACAACGCTCCGACGACAAAGATCCAAATTTCCCCCCTTTCCCCCTGGCCTTATATTGGAATGCATTGCGATCGAGATCTTGGGTTCAGAATTTTTCTGGCCGCTCACCTCCGAGACCAATCGCCCAATATGTAGGCCGTGGGGTGCGGGCGCATTCGAAGTGGTCCTCCAATTCTTGATGCAAAGTTTTTCCTTCAACAGGGTCAGGTGGCTGTACGCCCACTGGCGCGTCAGCAGGTGCAACATGATAAATGTGCTCATATCGACGGAGGAGAGGAAGGACGCGCGAAGGGGGAGAGACCAGGGAAACGTACCGGACGTGGTTACGGTAGGTTCGCGTCGTGTCGACCAGCGGCGACCCCGCCGCGAGCGTTCCATGTTGAACGCCGCCAGTGGCCCAGAATCGGCCTGTATTAAAGAGCCGCCGATCGATCAAGGTTGAGCGATCCACGCGGTGTCAGAAACCAACGCCCAGGGTCGTCACGACACGAACCTGCCGTACTTAGCGCATGGATTTCAATAACAAATTCTTGCCTCGTCCGGCTGGCGCGTCGACCGCAGTAGAGAGAGCTTGCGCGGGGTGCGGCTGGCGCTCGCCGATGTCCGCCCAGGCGGCCGCGCCTGTAGGGGGCGGAGCAAGGCGCGCGGGTGCGCACTGCGCTCGACGCTGGAACCAAGACTTATATCGCACCAGGTCGCTACACTCTGCAGAAGTGGGAATTCGTTCCAAAAGGTTAGAAAATACTCCGCGAATATGTTTTCAAATAACGTTACAACATACTCAAAAAAACACATGCGGATAATGTTTAAAAAGCCATGGTGTTCGATTAACTATTCCATGTAGAGCGGCCTGGTGCGATACAAACCCACTCCTCCTCCTCCGCCCTCCCACAATATACACCCCTTCCTTTTTCGTGGAATAAGTGAAGGGGGGGGGGAGGAGGAGTAGGAGACTAATGGAAGGAAGAGGGGGGCCAGCAGCAACGGCAGGATGAATAGATTGACTTCAGAACGCCCGAGAGGGCACCGTGCATTTCTTTTCGCTTCGCTGCGCCCCCGCCGAGACAGTCAGAGCAGGGCTTCGGGTATAATCCACGCAGTGGTGAATCGTATTGTTTGCATGGCCGTTTGCATTGTCTGTGAAGCAGTCGCCCCAATGATCTCTATAGATGCATTGTTGAATGGTGTTTCCGCCTCAGTTGTCGATTGCGTTGTATACGTATCATTAGAATGATGTCAGTTTCTGTTACTTCTGCGGCTGGTGATGAACGCCCGCCCCCCTTGTGAGGATGTTTCTGGTTGGCAAGTGTGTTCCCGAAGGTCCCTCGTGCAGATTCTTGTCCGTTCGCGGCATTGTTCGTTGTATTTCGCAATTGTAGTTCGGTTCGTTTCGGTTGCCCCCCTCGGATGATCACCCCCCCTCGTGGTCGGAGCCGCATGTGTTATGCGCGGGTGTGCCGTTCCACCGCGTGCCTGTGTACAACGAAGGGCCTTCGCATCGCCGATGCCATCAAGCGTGCGGGGGCTGGGCCACGATACGAGTTGACACGTCCGTCCAGCATCGCCTGTGTCGCCGCCCAGTTTCCATAGCCGTTTTGGCTGATTCAGTTGCTCATCCATATGCGATTCGCAAGCTTCGTGTTTGCACTCCGTGTCATCAGTGTGTTCTGATTTCATATGGCCTCAGGGCCTTTTTCTTGTGTGAATGTATCACTGCGCTCTGTTATTTTCGTGTGTGTTCTGATTACTGGAATGGCTGACCAGAGTATCCAGAGGCCTGTTCGGAGAGGAGGCGACCTTGCAGTGGCGAGGCAGGCCGCTCAAGAAGCAGCTAAGCGACGACGGCTCGAGAGACAGGACCTCCATGATTTCATAGCAGCACTGAAGGTTCCACCAGAGGTCAAAGCAGATGATGACACTGCGACAATACTGCTCCAGCCACCGTTGATCTACCA